GGATTCATACGATAAGATCATGTAGGATTCTTACCATAGGATCCTATAGGAAATATCACATAGTCCTACAGACAGACTCCGAGGATAATCCTATCATAGGAAATAATAGGATTCCATAGGATCCTACTAGGATTGTTTGACCTGGGTAGCTGAATTTTCCATCTACTGTCTTGTAATACAATCACAGACGAACGCAACTTTATCCTTTACACTTACTACTAATCTGTCTTTATCTTCTTGTACATTTGGTATCGTCACACGAGCAATATTTCGGAATACACATTAAATTGCTTTTCCCACACGTACATGATATACAGTTGCCAGTTTTACAGCCATATGATATTGTATTCGATGCATTGGGTGCAGTTGGTTTTATTGTCCATATAACTTTTAAAATTCCATTATTTAATTCATAGCTATTACTGACACATATCGAACGCTGAGTATTTTTACACTACATATGCACGGCCACGGCAGCTCTTTTGAAATGCTGATGTGCAGCATCACTTGTGGGTAGTAACGCTTTTAATGCTGATATATCATCGTATTTTCTTGGGGATTTTTTAATTATGTTATATCTTTCTTCATCTAGTGTTTTACCTTGAGCTTGCAGTATCTGCAGTAGAAGGCTTTCGCAATGATTTACTGTCTCATATGTTAATGTATCCAGATTTTGAATTTCTTTAAATCGATTTGTGTTTTCAAAAAAAGTGTTAAGAGTGGTAGCTTTTGTTATATTTCAAATGCAGGACGTATACTGGCTACCAGTTAAAGCATGTAGTGAAATTACCGGCCTAATTGAATTTACATTATATTTTCGGCGCATACATAAATTCAATTTTGTACAGTCGATAAGTTTCATATCACCGATAAAAAAAATTAAAGTTCGTTTAGAGTTAACGAAAAGTGCTTTTTCGTATTCATCACACTTGATAACCTGGAAAATTTTCTATTTTTAGCGAGGGATACCGTCAAAAAGTTAAGAAAAATTTTCAAACAAAGTGACGCAGAAAAATCTCCATGGCAAAATTATACAAATTTGAAAATTTTTCTTAACTTTTTGGCGGTACCCCTCGCTAAAAATAGAAAATTTTCCAGGTTATCAAGTGTGCTGAATACGAAAAAGCACTTTTCGTTAACTCTAAACGAACTTTAATTTTTTGTCGATGATATGTGTTACTATTTCACCACGAAAGGTATAACTAACGTCTACGATTAATCGATTTTGAAATTGTGGTGCATTAGCGATGGCTAAGAATAGCAGATCACTTTTTTTGGACTTTATGCAAACACATTCTGAATCAAATCCATGAAGATTAATCAATCCATGTTCAATTAATCTAATATTGATGTCGTAATGTAGACTTGTCACATTTTGAATAAATTGTTTTCCATCAGCACGAGTTAAAAGCAGTATTTTTCTATCTGGACAAGATACGAGTACTATTTTTCCATTTGGATTAGATGCTTGCCATATACGACAAATACTTTCACCAATAACTGGAGCATTGCTTTCTACTAGAATTTGCCACTCAGATGATTTTGGCATAACGAAGTTTCCTTTCAGTTGATTAACGGCTAGTTTAGTATTGTTGTTTTCATTGTTCATAATCTCGTGGAGACAATAATTATCTGAAGAAGGAAATACAACATCAATTCGTTTGAATTTATTAAACAATGAACTAATTTTTCCATTAAACATATTTGCAGCATATATTTCAGATGTATCACACCTTTGTGTTTCCGCTAAAACGAGAATGAGAAAACTAGTCAGCAGATGCACCAGTACACTGATGAATGTGTCTTTGTCTAATATTTCCAAGGTCGTTTCTTTTTCTCGTTTAGATTTAGCCTATAAATATGATTTTCTGATTAATTTTACGAAACATTTATCAGAAACGCTTTGTTAGATAAACCTGAACAAAGAAACAGTTGTTTTTCGTTTGTTCTATAAAGCTTTACTTTTACCTTGCTGAGGAGATCATTTTGACCATATGAAGTGAACAATAAAGATTCAAAAAAAAGTAACACCCCTAGAAAAAACATCTTTCTTTATTTTTAGTCTAGAGCTAGGACCAAACATAAATCATATTCTGGTAAGGCAAGCCTAATCTACGAGTATAACATGATATTAGCAAGGGCAGATTTCGACCCATATCCAGGGGGTGTTTTGCTATTGTTAAAACTTCTAGCAGAACTGATGCCTCTCAGAAGTATTCTGTCATTTACTACCTTGCGCAAAATGAAGCAGTTGATGTGGTTTAGTTCAGTTTAGTTATTTAGAAAACATCCAACGCAAATGTAAAATTTCGGTACAGACTGGAACAAAAGA